AAGAGTGCATAGTTTCTGTGGAATCAAAAGAGCAATATAAATTAACAAACAAAAAAAAAAACAGACGCACAGACTGATGGTTGCCAGGGGTGAGGGGGGTTGGGACACTAGATAAAAAGTGAAAGGGATTAAAAAGTACAAATTGGTGGTTACAGTATAGTCATGGGGATGTAAAAAAGCACAGTATAGGAAACAGAGTTGTAATATTGTGATAACTCTGTATGGTGCCACTTGGGTACTGAAAATATCGAGGAGATCACTTTGTAAAGTATATAGTTGTCTAACCACTATGCAATACACCTGAAACTCATACAAAATAATATTGAATGTAAACTGTAATTGAAAGAAATACTAAAACTAAAAAAAGAAAGAAACTAAATGCAAAAAAACCCCAACAGCCTCTCAACTCAAAATGTTGGGGTTATCTTTGATTCTTCCACTTCAATGTGTTATTAAACACTGAAAGTGTCTTTGTTTTCATGATCACTGAATTAATCTGAGGGCCTCGGTGCAGTCTCTTGCAGGACAGCTTCTCTCTCCCCTTGTGCAATGCGTTCTCGCATCAAATCTGTGCCATCTGTTCTCACCCTGTTCTCTCACTGTGTTCCTGAGGTTCTCTGTTCTCTCTGAGCTTCTCTCCTTTCTTCTAGTTGAAGAAAGGAATGTACACAAGCCAGCACATCTGATTTATTTTATTTCACCCATCATTCTACTTTTCTTCTCTAGTGCTGCTTTTCTGGAAGCAATGCATACAGAATATGGGTTGAATGGAATTGGTCTGCTTATAGATACACTCTGTCGCTTATTAACTTGTGCTGTAGCCTGTTAATAAAGCTCTCTGAAGCTCAGCTGCCTTATGTGTAAAATAGGCGTAGAGTCACTTCCTTCACAGGGCTGATGTGAGGATGTAATGATATGAAGAATGTGACGGTCATGCTCTGTACGCCCAGCAGCTCTCAAACCCTTGCACACTCATTTTTATTAGGATGGGAGACCTGAGTCATGCTCTCCATCTCTTCGACCTCAAAGGCTCTGGTTCGTATTACCTGAACATCTCTGTCAGAAACTCATTGTTCTTCTTACCTTCACCATCGTTGGCTGCTATTTCTTTACCAGAAGGCATCTCAAACACAGCCAACTTGGTGCTTGAAAAGAAGGTATTTCCATTCCATTTTAAAAATGAGGCAACCAAAGTCCACTGAAGTTACATGATTGTCCCAAAGCACATACGTAGAGAATTTTGGGAACTATGTCCTAGACATAATCTGCTTTGATGTTAGCTCTCCAAGAAAGAATTGATTTGAACTTTTCTGTAATTTCTTTTAGTTTAGTTAATGATCAGGGTTTAATTGTTGTCTAAGAAGGTATGAGAACTTCTATAGGGTCTTGCCCTCATCCTTTTACCAGGCAGAGCCAACAATATCCACTCCAGACTCGCAGGAGTACATCCTATTTTAAAAGTGATCTAGATGGACCACTTAGCAGTTTCTCCTTGGATGGGCCACTCCAGTGTTAAACTCTCTTACTTTAAAGGCCCTTAAAAACAATTCTCTCTTAAATAAAGAGTGAGGTCATTTTCTTTCAGGATGGTTGAGTGATTGTGGGACTGAGTGTTAGTGTCGGGCAAAACTGAATTCAAATTTCACCTTTGTTGTTTGCTGCTTTATTTGTTGCATAATCTTGAACAAGTTACTGAACATTTTAAAACCATTTTAGTACCTACTCATAAGATTACTCTGAACATTAAGTCAGGTCATATGTGTAAAGAACTTTATAAAACTTGACTGAGTCCATGATCAATTAGTCGCAGTGAGTGCCTATTAACTATATGTTCCCTCTGGCAAACAGGTTTCATATTTATTACAGTCAGAAGGATTGAAACCACTTAAAAAAAAACCAAGCAAACAAAACGAACATTTTTGAAATGACAGCTGAATGGTTGCATGTGGTTAACAACATATAATAAGCTCTGAATAATGATGACCACATTTTTCTCTTTTTATATTCCTTTCTCGTTTTATTGTCAAAATGCAATAGTCTCCTAATATTTTATTTGCCAAAGAATTTGAATTGTTGGAGAAAATAGGAAGCATTACACCTCTGTCTCTTTTTTTCTCTCTCATTAAATCTTGATTACAAGAAAAAGAGATAATTTGTGCAGGTGGCCTCTTTTGGTTTGTTTTCTTGATTTACATTTAAAAAATGGTCTCCTATCCTCTTTTTTCCTTTTCCTAAATGAGGAGGACAATGAAGATTTGAAATGCCAGCTGCAGTTTGTGAAAGAAGAAGCTGCTTTGATGAGAAAGAAAATGGCCAAGATTGATAAAGAAAAAGACAGATTTGAGCACGAGCTCCAGAAGTACAGATCCTTTTATGGAGATCTGGACAGTCCTTTGCCCAAAGGAGAAGCCGGGGGGCCTCCCAGCACCCGGGAGGCTGAGCTCAAGCTGCGGCTGAGGCTGGTGGAGGAAGAAGCCAATATCCTGGGCAGGAAAATTGTGGAACTGGAGGTGGAGAACAGAGGCTTAAAGGCGGAACTGGATGACCTAAGAGGTGAAGATTTCAATGGCTCGGCCAACCCGCTCATGAGGGAGCAGAGCGAATCCCTGTCGGAGCTGCGGCAGCACCTGCAGCTGGTGGAAGACGAGACGGAGCTGCTGCGGAGGAACGTGGCCGACCTGGAGGAGCAGAACAAGCGCATCACAGCGGAGCTCAACAAGTACAAGTACAAGTCCGGTGCCCACGACAGCGCGCGGCACCACGACAGCGCCAAGACCGAGGCCCTGCAGGAGGAGCTGAAGGCCGCGCGCCTGCAGATCAATGAGCTGAGCGGCAAGGTCATGCAGCTGCAGTATGAGAACCGCGTGCTCATGTCCAACATGCAGCGCTACGACCTGGCCTCGCACCTGGGCATCCGTGGCAGCCCCCGCGACAGTGACGCTGAGAGTGATGCGGGCAAGAAGGAGAGTGATGATGACTCCAGGCCACCACACCGCAAGCGCGAGGGGCCCATTGGCGGGGAGAGCGACTCCGAGGAGGTGCGCAACATCCGCTGCCTCACACCCACCCGCTCCTTCTACCCGGCACCCGGGCCCTGGCCCAAGAGCTTCTCCGACCGGCAGCAAATGAAGGACATCCGGTCAGAGGCCGAGCGCCTGGGCAAGACCATCGACAGGCTCATCGCCGACACAAGCACCATCATCACGGAGGCGCGCATCTATGTGGCCAACGGGGACCTGTTCGGACTGCTGGACGAGGAGGATGACGGCAGTCGCATCCGTGAGCATGAGCTGCTGTACCGCATCAACGCGCAGATGAAGGCCTTTCGCAAAGAGCTGCAGACTTTCATCGACCGTTTGGAGGTGCCCAAGTCCACAGACGACCGCGGCACCGAGGAGCCCATATCCGTGAGTCAGGTACAGTTCTGCCTATTGCGAGCCACGGCGATGGCGAGGCTGGTCAGCGGAGCTGCAGTCCCGCGTGGGGCGTCTCCGTGCACCGACTCCCACGCCCCGCTTTAGGGAAGCCCCAGCTCAGAACTTTTCACACTGTCCTTCTTCAGGCCTGAGTTTTCATCACCCGATTACTTAGTAACTGCTTGCCCTCCGTTATTTTTAAAGGGAAACCTTGCCCAGCCCAACAGTTTTTGTGTAAAGATTAAAGGATTTCTAAGATTTATAACTACTACTGTTATTACTTATTATTTTACTATTACTAATTAATGAGCGAGGTTTTTTAAACTTTTAAATATCTACTCATAAGATTACTCCGAATATTAAACTAGGTCATATGTATAAAGAACTTTACAAAATCTAACATTTTCAGTATCATTCCACAAATTCTAATAGCTCTAACGGCAAGAAGAATCTTCAGTTGTTTGTAATTTTTGAGCCAAGATTCAAATTGAGTTTAAAATAATTTTTAAAAATTTCTAAGTTGATGCATAGCCACTGGTAAACGTAGAAACCGGGAGAGAAAAAGATGATCCTGGGTCTAGGGCTGGACCAAAAGGAATAAGTGGAAGCTGCTCCTTTACCCCAAGTTGAAGTTGAAGTTACATGATCATTACTTCTGAAAAAGTATCTTTGTCAGCTCTAGAGTGGAAAATCTCAGGACTGAGGAAGGATTGTTTAAGGCAACACTAATTCAGAGGAACAGTAATAACTATTCCCGAACAGGGAAACCCAGCATTTTTCCTTCATCCTAATTGTAGAGGCACACCCGATGAATTGGACTGAGCTGCTCTAGCCAGGTATGGTGGCCAAAGACCAATGCATTTTGTTAGAGTTAACCACCTAAGAGACAATTTATAAACCCGAACAGGCAGTGCCACCCCCGCCCCCCGTGGCAAGCCTGGTATCCTGTATCCATTGGAGAACCCGTGGAGTACAGCAGCATGCATGGCTTTTAAGATATGCAACAGGTTTAAATTAAGAAATCAGTTCATATTCACAAGCATGACTGACATTAATTTAACTGGCCTGTTAGTCACCACTGGAAGAATTGCGGCCCTATTGCTTACTGATCTTGCATGTTGTTCTGCTTTGCTATGGGAAGAAAAAAGAATCTTATGATAACACTTGTTGAATTTTTTAAATGTTGAGGCTTATTTCCTTTTATGTATTGTATCAAATAAGAATTTTTTATTAGTTTCTTTGTTGCAGTTTTTCAGGTACTTTGAGCACGTGGCTTTTCAATTTGATCCTTGGGGAAAAAGAGGCAGGGTGAGAGGAAGGATGTAATAATAGGCTTTCAGATTCGGTACACAGAGGCATAAAAGAGGGTTCTGCTTTATCTGAAGTTGAATGAATGCTTAGATTAGTTGACATGAAGTTTCTAAAATTATTATTAATTAACTCTTCTTTTTCTCTTTGCATTTACCTTCCCAGATGTTCCAGCCTATCATTTTACTTATTCTCATTCTTGTATTATTTTCATCACTTTCTTACACAACAATATTTAAACTTGTCTTCCTTTTTACGCTGTTCTTTGTACTGTAAATCTTTCATCATTCACCATTCATTGTAGTATTTTTAGTTTGTTTATTTTTGTTCACCCTTCAAGACAAGAAGTAAAAGAAGTATAATTTCTGTAGTAACCAATGCTATAAAAACACTGAAGACTGCTTAATTTCTTTAAAAAGACCCATCTTACCACTAGCAAATTCAATAAGAAGCCCAAGCACTAAAATATTTCAGGTAAGGAAGTAAGTGTGACTTTTTTTAATCATTTTAATTTTTGCTTCTGTCTTTTACATCTTAATTTGTACTCCTCTCGAAAAATAATTGGCAGAACAACTGTAAAAATTGGCTAAATCTCTCAGTTGTTTCTCAGTAGTTACCTATTCTGATAATTCAAAGGCTGGACATTTGCAAATTGGCTATATTTCCAGAAAATATGTAGGTGTGTAAACTACTTTTGCTAGGTTACATCAGACTAACAGGATAATTTTGACATCTAATAAATATCTACGAAAATTTTGGTGAATGAATGAAATGTGACCCTCATGGAAACTAAGTAATTGTTTGCAATGTTAATGGTGTTCTGTCTAAAGAGATGGGTTTTGAAGCATGAGAGTGGATTAGGCCTTAGTTCATTTAAAAAATAATTATTTCCATCCTACTCCATGTGACCAGCTTGCAACCAAACCAGCATTTCTGCATTTACCTGTTACCTCGGAACCCTAAGTTGCTAATCGGGTTGGTTGCCTGGAGTCCTGTCGTCTAGAAGTCACTGTCATACAGAACTGGTTCTGGAGCAGAGAATAGGCTAGAATTACAATATGTGAAATGTTTTCAATAGGGAAATATATAGTCATTCTCTAGAATTTTAATAAGTTGCAATCCACAGCCAGTGGGTAGTTCCAATAGGGACTACTCTCTAGACACAAACTTGCTTTGTTGAACCACAGCCCCCTTCTCCTGTTACCTAAAGTGGGCTGTGTGCACCAGGTCCCCTCATTGGTCCATCTCATTGGTCACTTACCCAATGGAGAGGTGGATGGCACCAGTGCCACTGAAGATTGACACCAGTGCCATTAAAAATTAAGAAATCACAGCAGTCGTTCAAGTCACATACTCAGAAATACTCTCAGATTGGTTGGAGGATATGAAAATTCGTAGTGAAGTATCTTGCATCTTGGAATAAGGAATACTATGTGGAAAATCTCTGCTCTACTACAAAAGTTGGGACTGGTAACAGACTTTTGTGACCTCATGCCCTAGTGTCTCCATTTGAGTAATAAGTTATTAAAGAGAAACACTTAACAGTTGTCGAGATTTCAGTTTAAAATAACTGCTCTTAATCTCCATGTTGTTTCCCGTTTGGTTTCTATTTCATTTTGTTTTGGAGGAGAGGGAGTGAGAAGTGGTTAACCAGAAGTGGGATCTGTCACTGCACACCCAGAGATTCAAAAGGCTAGGTAGAACTTCATGACAAAATGGAATGAAAAAACATAAGTGCTATATTTATGCAGTTATTCAAACATTTACTTTTTTATAATTTTCATCTCAGGAAAGCAGCCACTTTAAAAACCAAACTCTGTCTGTTGGATCTTTGATAAGTCTGTAGGCCAAAGAAACTATTTTGGCAAAAAAAAACCCCATAAACCAAAAAACCAAAAGCAAATGTTTGAGATCTGAAATTTATCTGAAATATTTATTGCTTTTGGAGCCAGATCCCGTCAGCTAAGCAGTGATTCTCTGCTGCCTGGACACATCTGATGGTATATGGAGATGTTGTGCGTTGTCACACGACTGAGGCGCTTTATTGGCTTTTAGAAGAAAGAAATCAGAGTTTCAAATAATTATCCTGCCCAAATTGCTAATATTATTCCTGTGGGCAAATCTATGCAATGCACTGGTTCACTTCATTAGTATCATGGACATTCACCAGCCTGTGTGGCTTTAAGCTAGAGCATTTCCACCTTTGTCACCCAGTCTTGGCCATGACAAAGCAGTTCCATTTCCACACTGGCGACAGTGTTAGAAAACTGTCCTTTTGTTAATACAGGTTCTTGAAACCAACTAAATCAGAGAAGACGAATAGGAATACTATATGACACAAAGGAGACCCATAATGAACATTGCGTGTGCACAGGGTCATGCACACGGGGAGATGCAGGCACACGTGCACACTGAATTAAAGCCTCAAGATGACCCTCTACAAACACACACCTTAACAGACCACCTCTTTGTCATTACATAGCCACTTCTGCCACAAAGCTTCCTTAATGATCAGAAAAGAGAGTATGCTATCCCTGAAATTCACCTGAAATGATGGATGCCCACTGACTCCACCCTCCCAACTAAGGTAAAGAGCATACACAAGAGATGAGAAAATGGAGTGTAGATGCTCTGTCTATTCAGCAGTGTGTCCCTGCGTGTGCACACATACCTCTACTGCACTGTGGTGCGCACTGAGTGGCGCACCAGGGAGTCCAGACCTGCCTGGATTGTAGGGGACTGCTGAGGGCTTGTAGCTGGGAGATGATGTCAGCAATTGACCTGACAGAGGGCATGAAGTGACCTTGTCGCTTGCCTTAGTCTCCTTGGAACTTCGGGCTGTTCTGTAGACACCTAGGCTTAGGGTACTTCTCTCCCCTACACCACGGGATACTGGCTTGGGAAGAGAAGTGAACAAAGACGGTGCCCAGGACCTCAGAAAGAGTTTCCGGCATCATTTCATCTCCTCTTTGATCCTGTTACTTGCATTATCTTTAATTGTATAAAGATAGTTGTAAAACAAGAACACCAAGCCTTCTTTGTTCCTCAGGAGGAGAAGATCCCCCAATTAGTGAGACAAAGACTCTTCTATTTGCAATTTTGAAGCTGTGCTATTTAAACATCATGCTAAAAATAAATTCAAACCAACCTTATTGAAGAAAATTCCCTTGCACACACATTCTTGGGTATAGGAAGAAGTGTCTTTGGTAGCTTTGACCTAATTTAAGAAAAAAGATTGAGTTGACTATTTTTAAGCGTAACTAACACAAACTCATAAAACAAAGGACAATTCAGTGCTAAGCCGGGAATGTGTATTGGCCTGCATTCCCCAACCTCCACTCCAGTCTGTGTGGTAGAGCATCAAACGGATGTGTAATCGGCTGCCAGTGAAGTTTGGAATGTCAGTTTGGTAGCTCAGCCTTAACTTCAAATATTCGTGCAGTGTTCGTAGCTCTATGCTTATAGACCTGCAGCCCACCTTCCATCTGATAGAGTCATGCGTTGTTGGGTCAGATACCGTAAACCAATGAAAGGATTGAAGAGAAAAGTGGTAGAGGATAATGTCAGAAAGTGAGAAAAGTTGACCATAGCTACTGGAATGTGATGCAGTTCAGAAACAGTATTTGTGAAAATACAACTGCTTAAACTGTACTTAAAACCAGTTAAAGGTCTAGTGAAAGATAGTTTTGATTTTGTGCGTAATTTTGATTTAGGTTGTAGGAGATGAAGTGATTTGCATACACACTTGGATGAAAGTAACATTTCCTGAGTAGGTCCTGGTCTTCTCAACGGCCTACTGGTGGGAAACTCATACAGAATAAGAAAACTTTTATGGCCTGGACTTGTCAGGAAAACCTCTGTAGTGACTATATTAAATGTGGTGACTTACTAAATGCTTCTAAATGGTACTTTTGTGCTGATCAGCTGGGACAGGAGGACATGGTGGTCGCTATTTTAAATTTGGGGCATTCTGAAAGTGTGTGCAAAACCATAGAATCTCTAAAGGTCCTCTCAGTGTAACATCATAAATACACTGTAGTCCGTACATTCTCTGCTTAGACACTCACTCATTCTAAAATATTCATTTGCAGATTTAAATTAACTCTGTTGCTGTCCTCCTGAAGTTGTGGGTAATTATTTAAAAACTTCCAGAAAGAACTTTTCAGTAGAGTAGTTACAAGTTCACTTGACCAGAGAACAGGGGAAGCAGGCGTAACGCTGGCCTCTGAGAAATGAGGAAAAACCTTAGAAATCTTCACGTTTCGCTGTCCACTGTCGAGCCAAGCTGTGTTGTCCTAAGATCCTCATCTTCTATTTCAGATATTTATGTTTAATAAACTGAAATGTATTGACATTTCTTGGTTATTCAGTTTTATTATTACAATTATAAAAGGTTTTTTTTGTTGTTCATGGGTGTATGAGTTTTCCTGTAGCTGTTTTTCAAAATAGGGTACTATCAAAATCCAATATCTGAAAATAAAATTGCATGATTTTATAAATTTATAAAATTTATGATATGAGAATATATAGTCAGTGGTTTCTATGAATTATTCAGCTTTTTCAAAAATATTCATGTAACTTCATTGACTTGTGTATTAGAATGTTTCTTGGAATATTGTCTAAACCAAAGTCTTGTTTGGGATAATTCAAGCTCAGTTTATTTTTGCTCTTTTAAAAATTATTTTTCTTTTAAATTGTCAGCTCATTTTAGATCTATTAAATAAATATTTGGAAGTTTTATCTTAAGCCGAAATATATATTAAATAAACTGCGAGTTGGAGGACTGCACAACTGAAACATGTAACCATCCAGAAAAGCTCAGAGCACTGACTCATCTCCCAGAAGGCAGCGCGGCCCTGCGGGATCAGGACTGTGCGACTCCTGGAGAGGTGTCCTGTGCAGCACGCGCCAGTGACGGAGCTCTGGAGGTGCCTGGTTCCAAAAATGTTGCTTTACAAATTTACTTTCCGTAGTCTCTTCTGAGTGTAATGAGTTGAGCTGCTTATCTAATCTGTGTTAACAAATAAAATGCATAAGTGATTTTTGAAGGCTGGCAAACAGCCTTTGCACCTTTCTGAGGTTGTCCAACATAATGTAGCTTTAAAGTCAGTTCTTTCAGTGCGCGTCAAAAGAACCTGCCTTAACCTAGGCCACAGAAAATTTAGAGGGTGTGAGGGTTAGAAAGAAACTCATAATTTGCCACTGGCCACAAATGAGTTAGTATGGGAAGAGAATTTAAGAGCTTTAAGAAAAATAGGTTAGAGAGTCTTTTATTTCTTAAAGTCAGCTCAGTTTGGTGCATTGCTTAAAATTTCCTTTCTTTTTCCCTTTAAACATGGACAACTTTTGCACAATTCATGTAACTCCTTGCTATCATTAACTCCCGGACAGATAAAACAGAGTTAGACTTTTTAAGTAGAACATCCAATGTGTCAGCCTAGAGCAGTAAATTAGAGCTTCAGAGGGAGAGCTAA